GAGTGAAAGTGAAAGCATCGATTTCTTTCTCTCTGCAGGCGAATATTTTGTGCTCTAGAAAAATGGAGAAGGATAAGGCAGGGCCATTGACTAAGGGTGTCCTATTCACACCAATGCAGAGGCATTATATACGCCAGTGCTTGGATGGTATATTACATATCCATCACTTCTCATTGGCTGTTTTTCCAGTTTGACAGCAGCTTTGTTCTAGAGTTGATAAACAGGCAGGCATGTGCATTCAATGTTTTGAAAAAGATCACACTGCAGTCATCTTAATCCCGTGAGTGCAAAAAACAAACCAAACAAAAAAACCCAGACCAAACCAAAAAACCTCCCAACAACAAACACCACACTACACATCCAGTTTGGATGTTCTTAGCCCCAAGTGTCATAGCACTAATATATCACACTGTCATACCAACATAGTCCATGTAATAAGGTGTATTGTCTGTACATGCATTAAAGGTTTTTCATACTGCTTAAACTTGGTTATCAATGACTGGTACACTGCATGTAAGTGGGGATAGTAACAATAGATTAGAGACTGGGAGGGAGAATTTACTTCCACCCAATGCAGATTGAGGGAGCTGTAGATAAGGCCATTATTCTCCTTTCTGGCCTGCTCAGTACACTTGAACAGCATATTTTGTTGTACTTTTATCTTGCTTTCATCATATTTATTTCCCCCTCTCCCAACTTCACAGCAGTGGTACTGAAAGGTGGTGTTGCTATCCCAAGGGAGACATTTTAAGTTAATTAGTTTGGACATCAAGCACCATCCAAGATGTCCATTTTTCTGTTCAAAAGACCTTCTCCTTTTTGAAGTTTAAAATTGATTCTCCAGTCCAGGGATTTTGTCTACATATACCAAATGGCCTATGGTACTCTACAAATAAAATTGATAATGGGCCACGTTTTGCTCTCTATTTTATCAGTGTAAAGAAAGAGGTTAAAAGAGGTGGGAGATAAAGGGAGGGTAAAAAGTAGGATATTTGCTCTGTTTTCACAATAATCCTGATAGAATTTGTTGTTCTTGTCATATGTAATTCGCTGACTTTGTATAATCCAAAAATAAGTACATGTACACTTTGTCAAAAGCATGCTGAGTGGTTGATTGGACTAGCAAATAGGCCTTGATGCAGAAATTCTTACTTAGTGCGTGATAGATAAAAATACTGTATCTAGAAGTGTTTATTCACCATAACTGAAGGGGCCTAACTACACAAGATACAAAGCAAGGGAGAATCAATTACACCTGTGCAAAGTGACTGCACTGTAGAAACATCACGTACTTGGGCAACACCATCAGCCAGGACATCTGGAACAAAATCAGTAAAGCCAGGAACACCTTCAGGAGCTTAAATACAGTCTGGAAATCATCAAAAAACAACACCAAAACCAAACTCAAGATTTATCAGCCCTGAATACTTTCAACACTACTTTATAGTGCAGAATTCTGGGAAATGAGAAAGTATGACATATCCAAACTGTCTTCATTCCATACAACCTGCCTCAGAAAAATCTCAAACCAAGATCTATTGACACAGTGCATCCAAGAGGATCTGAGCACCATCATTGCCAGGAGGTGTTGGAGATGGATCGGTCATGTGCTTCAGAGGGAAACTGATTCCATCACCAGAATAGCAATAAGATGGACACCTGAAGGCAAGCGAAAACGAAGCCACTCAAAAACAACATGGCAAAGAGCTGTGGAAGCCGAGCTGAAAAACCTGGAGCACAGCTGGGGAACCATTGAAAGACTTGCCAGAAACTGACAGGAGTGGAGGACCTTCGTCACTGCCCTAAGCACCAGAGGTGTAATAGGAACATGATGATGAAAGTGACTGAGAAGGGTAGTTAAATGTTATCATTTTATTTAACCATACTTGACTAGTGAAGGACCTGAGAGGGAGACTTTAAATTACCTGATCAGCTTGCTGTTTGGGGGCCGGTTTGGCCCCTGGTGAAAATTAGAGAAGTCTGAGGGCTCCTTTAACTTCCGGCCTCTTGCGCTGGCTCCTAAAGGACTGTTCCAGCTGATTCACTGGAGAGGTTTTGGGCTCTAGTCATTCTCTCTCATCCTCAGGCATATCCCTGATCTGACCTCTATGCTGGAGGGGCAAGAGTGGGTGGTATAGAGCTACCCTATGCCATTGAGGGGATTCTCTTCACACTGGGAGAATAAATTAAGACTCCAGTTAGCAAGGTACTTAAGCATGTGCCTAATTTTAAGCATGACTTCAAATGGACTACTCATGTGGTTAAAGTTACTCGTAGGCTTGGATCAACCAAATTGCACTTGCACAGGGACCCCATCTCAGGGGGGCCCCAGCCACTGAGGGGAGATACACTTGGCCAGGGTAGGGATGGGCTGGAGCATCATGCACAGTGGGCCAGAGTCAACAGCCCAGAAAGGGGAGCTGAACCAGCCCTGTGGGACAAGAGCCACTGTGGGGTGGGCTCCCTATCCTCACCCACTGGGATTTGCCAGGGGCAGGACCTGCTCCTCCTCCCCTCCACAGGGCTTCCATCCTTGGGGACAGGGAGTATGGAAGCAGGAGGGAGAAATTGCCATAGTTTTGTGGGGCCCCTAAATTCTTTAATTGGGTACTGGTTGGGTGTGTGCTTAAGTACTGGCTTGGGGGGCTGCTTTCCATCAGTGGCTCCTGATTTGGCAGTGTTTGGCAGGCACTTAGGGCAAATTACACAAAGGGCAAGGCAATAGAAAAGCAGGCCAGAAGTGATTTGTTGATTAGTTATGTATATTCTTGTTCTTAACATGTTAAATACAAATGCACTGGGAAAAATAAAAAAGATAAATAAAAGTGTTTAAATTGTCCTTAACCTATTTGTTTTCAGTTCCCTCCAGAAGAGCCAGAGAAAAAGGAGAGAATGAGACTGTAGTGAAGAAACGAGGCCACAGCTGTATCTACTATACTTCCTGATGGGGTTAAGAGACAGAGTAGCAAATACATTATTAGTTTTTCACTGTTTCATTGAATGAACTACAAAGACAGTTTTTCAGAGTAGCGTATATCCACCTAAAGAGGTGCACACAAAACTTATATCCCCTCTGAAACTTCCCATGGTTTCTGCAGAAATGATCTGTATCACAGTTTCAGGGCAACTGCACCTGGCTCCCCATCTGTGGTCACATTCAGGCTTCTGCCTCCCAGCCATCACTTCTCTTGAGCAAAGACCTGTTCCTCACTCCTTCGTGACTGGGGAATCTTTAAGGCTGCATAGTTCTCTACCTACACCTCCAGCAAGTCAGACTGCGTAAACATCCCAAGACTGCTCTTTGCTTTCTCTTTGAAGCCTATGAACAGCGCAATTGCCAGCAGTTACAAATGACCACACTGCTCTTTCTAAGCAACTTCATTTATTCTTAAGGTGAAAGCATTACACAGTAAGCTTATTACAAACAATAAAATAACTTACATGTATGCTAACAACCTTTCTAGAGACCACCCCAACTTCATCCTTGGGCTTGGGTAGGTGTCAGTCCTTCAAATCCACAGTTGGGTTTTCCTTCTGGATACAAGTTCATAGCAGGACACAGTCTGGGCAATTTAGCTATTTCTTCATATAGCTTGGACTTTTGATCTCCAGGCACAGGAACAGGTTACCAGCAGACAGTCACTTTCTCCTCAGGGCATAGCTTCAACTGGCTAGGTTTTTGCATAACTAGAAGTGGGGACTTTTCCTTAACCTCTCCCCAGGGATTCCCCAGGAAATTAATTTAAGATTGGTTGTCCCCAAAGTCCATTCTTCTCTGGCACATTTTCAATATAGTCCTGTTAACTCCCAGGCCTCACATCTGTCGTATCTCCTTCCTAGAGAGGTTACATACATTCCTGGCCTACAATAATACATAAACTTGTCATTTAATACAGTGGACTCCAAAGAAACTTAAACTTATTTCAATAAGGTTTTTCAAAGGATATAGTAGGACCTTGCTATAGCTGTCACACTCTGAACTATAGATTATCAATAGGGAGTCAGAAGGGAGTAGGTTTTTAAAGGTATTTAGGCACCTAAAGATTAGATAGGTGCTGAGTGGTATTTCAAAAGTACTTATGTGTCTATGGGCATTAGTTGCCTACGCACTTTTAAAATTCCCAATAGGAATCTTTAGGTCTGCAGCTTTAGGTACCTAATTGCCTTGAAAAATCTGGTTTGAGATCCTTACAGGAAGCCTTCAATATCACTATTCCATCCAACCCATTTTTAGCGATGCCATCCATCTATACGGGTAGCCCAGATTTTTCGTGGGTCGGTTTCTGTAAGGACTAATTTGCTATGCCTTTACGAGAGAATTCTAAATGTATTTCTGGTAGGATCTTATTGAATGCAAACAAACAAGTGTTCTCCAAGAACTAGCTCCAAACTCTATCTATGATTAACATCACTACAGTGGCATAGGATTTTACTGTGAAATACAGTGGGATTTTTCAAAACTTTCAAAACCATCTTGATGTTTTGGGGCCCCAAATTACTGAATTGGCTGGGAGTGCCCACTTCTGCTGGTGAAGGAGGTAGGGGAAGGAATTTGATTCTATGACAACTGTCCATTGTCTCTGCTACCATAGTGGGAGAACAAACCAACGCTGGACAATGGGGACTTAAGCAGTCACTTACAGTACTTCTTTCTCAGACCAGTCCTGGGGATGGTTTTTGTGTGTGTAAAGCAGTTATTTAAAACATTTTTGCTAACAAGTAGCTAGCCCTGGGATGCTGGGACCCCTGTTGTTGTTGATGGTGGGGTGGCTAGTAGCTGATTTTTGGCAGTAGGGGAGAGTGGCTGTTTTGGGGTGGGGGAGAGAATGGCTGGGTTCTTCTGCATTTTGAAGGTGGCAACCCAAAGGAAGCCCCTATACCCCCTGCCGGGGGCTCTGTGTGGGAAGCCCCCATCTCCCTCAGCTCAGCCCAGGCCCGGGGGGAGGGGCAGCCCTACCACCCCCGGCTCCACCTCCCAGTAGAGGTCCTGTCGGGGCGAGCCTACCAGCAGGTTGCGGGCAGACCCTGTGAACAGAGCCGGGCTTTGCATTGCAGCGCCGGTTCGCAAGTGGAAGCAGGCAGCTGTATTAGCAGAGCCGAGCCATGCTTCCGCTCGGGATCAGCTGACGAGTGAGGAAGTAGCAGCTGCAGCTGCTGAGCCCTTAATAGAGGCAGAGAGAGGAGCGCTGAGTGACTGACCCCCCCCCCCAAAAGCAGAGCCCCCCCCCCCGACTGAACCCAAACCAGCTAGCTACATTTCCCCCCCTCCCAAGAGGGTTGCAGCTGAGGGGGCATAGCCCAGGCCGTGTGTAGTGTGCAGAGATGGCAGGGGTCGTGGGAAATGGAGCTCAAGTAAGTGTCTGTGTCCAGCTGTTTGCAAATCCAGCAGTAGCACTTTTGGCGGGACTTTCCTTTCTCTTCTACAGCGTGCGTGTGTCTGGTCCGTCTCTTCAGGGCATGTTTTATTTGTAGTTGGAGATAGCCCCGTGCTTGGGGTTGTTTTTACTTGTATCCCCTCCCCGGAAAGAGCCCGATTTATTTATTTATTCTTCCTCTCCTTGCGCAGAGAATTGCCCCTCTTCCACACCTTGTCTTTCCTTTAACGTGGAGAGTCTGTCTGGTGGTGGTACTAGGCCTGCCTGGCTATTTTTCAGTAACTTTAAAAAAAAAAAAAACCCAAACCAACCAAACAAAAAACCAACCCTATCCCTTCTTAGTTGCAATTAATGGTGCAAAGGGCATGTGGGGGCTGGGAGAAGCTATTCTAGAGAGGTTAAAGGTGAATCAAACCTCTAGAGTTTAGTTTTTACTTGTTCAGTGTTCATGCACGTTAAGTTACTGGAGGGGAAAAAAATTGCACTGAAAAATTGCTTTAGTCACTTGCTTTTGCTGGGGTTAGACTCATGAAGTTTACCTTCACTTTATACTCCAATAAAATGTATCACTTACTTTAAATAAACTCTTATGAACATAATTGTCTGTCCAGGTGTAAATACAAAATGCTTTTACTCCTGAGAGGTTGTTATTAGTATGTTTCTCTTACATGAAAGACCCATAATCTACTAATGGTACAAACTCCAGCTTCTCTTCCCCCTCCCAAGCGGTAGTGCATTGTTTCTTTAATTGTATTTACAATGGATATGTTTTTAAATGTGTTTCCATGGGGAGCACTTAGAATGTGTTTCAGATCCGATGTTGCTCACACAATGGTAGGAGAAAGTTGTGATTTATTTATTTTATTTATTTTTACAAACATCACATGCAGCTGTTGTGAAATTAATACAGTGAATTATTGCTTCTAAAGACAGTTTACTGGCCACACCTATGGAGTTAAGTATAATTGTTAACCACTTCAGTACAGCTGTATGTTTTGCTGAGGCATTCCCACAGTCTGTCTGTACCTAGATATACAATATGTATCCATAGTGCATACAAGATTTGAAAAGGAAATAACTTTTTATTGCCTTTGTGTTTCTGTAAAACCCCTGATAGTTGTCATTTTACCTGAAATAGAAGCTTCCCTTTCTGTGGCTTGTGTCAGGCGTTGTAATGATATATTGTCTGGAGAGCTCAAGAGTTGGGAATGAGTTTATGGAGCTTTTCAGATAATAGAAAAGCCTATAAATAAATAGGTCATGGGTCAAATTTCACCCACGTTGGTAGTGCTTGAATGTCTTTAGCTTGTGAGGGCATCTTTTGAGATCTTCAGCTGGTGTAAATTGTCATCTTCTCCATTAGCTTCAGTGACAATTTACACTTGTTGAGAGAAACCACGATCACCCTTGTCACTAATAGGACCCAGACTGTCAGCTAAGTTTGAATGAGCCACGGAGAGTGCATAGTCCTTTGACCTTTTCGAGGACGAGGTGTACAAAGAAGATAAATCCTACCGCAAGGGCTGTGTGCATGGAGGGAGAAAGCTCATATTATTATTGATTGATCTGTATAATTTTTTTTTATGGATGATTAGAGGACTCCCCTTTCCAAAGGTTTTCACCTGTTCCAAAATCACTAATTTCTTTAAAGAATAAATGAAAATATGAGGGGGGAGGGGAATAAAATGTGTTCACTGTGCTTACTTTTAGCAGAGAAACACATGTTCTTCATATTATAATGTCATTTGCTTATGGGGAGACTTTCAAAGGGGAGTAAAGAACCCAACTTCCATTGCTTTTCTGTGGGAGTCAGGCACCGAACTCACTCCTTTGGCTTTAAATTTCCCACTTAAGAATTAGTGTGTGCCCTGTTTTTTGATCTGACCTTTGAAAAACAAAACACCTTTTATATGAAAATACTACATCATTGTACCAAGAGTGCTTCACAGCTAAACATTTCTCTAATAGGATCATTCCTTTTACAGATATTTTAGTCAAGTGAATTCCATGTATTGCTTCTAGAAATGGTGATTATGCAGGCAATTGGCTAACTTTGCAGCCGTTGTAAGAAACTGCTTCTGTGGTCATTGTGGTGTGCTGTGGCATGGAATGGATGATTCTTCCTTCCCTAGAGACTGATCATATCCCTTCTAAACTAAATATTTTCTTAATTTGAATGTGTTCTGAGTTGTCTGAAGTTTGTTTCAAAACATGACTCTCTTTCTGACATATGAATATTAGCTACAAAGTATTTTTAATATCTGATTCTCTCTTCACAATACTCAATTAACGGGAGAACACGTGAGCTTCTAGCAGTATGGAGGATAATGCTCAACTGACTAGTAATACTCTCCAAATGTATATTTCTGTGGCAGTGAGAGTGCATCAGTCTTAGTATATAACATCTGTACATTTTATGAAAAATCCTATTTGGAAACATTCTTCATGGAATTAATGACACTGTATTGAGTGTAACCACACTGCTCACAATGCAATGTCATTGTAAAATGGTCACAATAAAGGTAACTTGCGTTATGCTCTCCAGTACAGAAACTATGTGAGGAAAGTGAAGCTAGTGAAAGTGACAATGTCAATTTAAAATGTGTGTTTAAAAAACCCCAAATTCTTCCCTAACTTATCAATAACTATAATGGTGTGAAACATTCACAATAAAACCTGAAATATCACACAACCCACCTTATTTGGGGTTTTATTATAAACTTTCTAAACTTGGTCCAGGTTGGTTACCCCATATAGGGCACCAAACAGCTGTCAGATAGCAACAACTTTTGGTTACTACCAACCCTGATTTGGATTTGAACTAGAAAACTAGATATGGAAGGTTCTAGACCCAATTACTGATCCTTGGCATTTTCCAATCCCCTCAACCTTGTGAGTTTATAGGATATCTGGGGAGCAGTTTTATTGACCATAAAAAGAAGTCTTGTATCCAAAAGAGCAAAGGACTGAGACTTGGTCATTATGGTGCTCCACTCTACCTAGGTATTGCAGTGGGCTGGACAGCCACCATTCATTTCAGTATCTATGAGCAATGGGAATGTTGAGGGACCAGTACTTGAAGGCTGATCCTTGCTATGAAGGAAGTGGGGCAGGGGAGGGGGGATATGGCAGGGACAATAGCTTGTATTGATTCCTGGTAAATTGCTTTGAGCTGGAAGTAAAAACAATTTTGAAGAAATCTTATTAATACATTACTGGCATTACCATAGCACCTGGGAGTTCTAATGATGGATGAGGATCCTATTATCAAGGTGTTGCCTTTCTCCATAAGAAGCTTAATCTATAGTAGTACTACTGTAATCTGGATTCTTATAGTGAATGTCAATACTGCCTTTCGAGTGGTTTGAAAAGTCTTTTCAGGAAGCATTCTTCCCCTGATGTTGAGTCCTACTGCAATGTGTGGCACTCAGGTTGGGCAGACACTGATACCCAACTAAAATTAAGTTGGGGAGGGGGGTCGGGGGGGAGAAGGGAAATTCCTCATTGAAAAAGTAAGTTTTAAATTTAAAAAAAAAAATGAATGCAAGACGCTGCTTTCACTATGAATTCACTTTTCTGTCTCGGGTATGGAATTTCACCCTTGCCCTGAGAAGCTGGTGGAAATGTAAGAAATTTCACCTGCAATCAGATTTGTGAATAACTTCTTATAAAG